TTGCGTTCACAGACGGTTGAATAGTTACGTGTAGAACTCCAAATAAACACCAGATATATCGAAATGTTTACAGATCATTTATTACGCAACATTGCCGTCAATCACTGAGGAGAGAGAGAGAGAGAGAGAGAGAGAGAGAGAGAGAGAGAGAGAGAGAGGAGAGAGAGAGAAGAGAGAGGAGAGAGAGAGAGAGAGAGAGGGAGGGAAAGAGAATAGAGAGAATGGTATGCATATGTATATATATATATATATATATATATATATATATATATATATATATATATATGCTCGCAATATGTTTTACCTCACAGGTAAACATCATTTGGACAAGTCAATCCGGACGAGAACGTGTCTCACTACACCTGACCTGCGAGAGCATTGACACGCGCGTGACATCCCAAATTTATCCGACAGTTTCACTATCTCGCGGTGGACCTCTTCCGTGTCGCATCTAATAATTTTGGAGTCGTACATCTTTTAAAATCGTCTATCATTAAACAACATGGCGTTGTAATACCAATTAGAAATTGTGGTGAAGTGAAATTGATCTGTAGCTCTGGGTTGTGTCATTGCCTGTGCATTTACGGTATGTTGTGTGTTGTGTCTGTCGTGTGTCCTAAGCCTGCATGATGTTCATCTTTTTGCCTGCAGATGCAACTGCTTTGCTTTGAAAGGCGTCGAGAGATAATACGTAATGTGTCAGTAGAGTCAGTAATGTATGATGTATCAGGAGAGTAGAAAGAGTTTGCATTGGTTTGTGCTCTGAACTCCAGCCTACTATAGTTACTGGGAATAGGATTAAGATTGTCATACCTGCAGACAGCTCTAAACTCCGGTTTCAGATTTAGTGATTAAGCCTTGGAAAGTACGCTTCCGGTTTTTGGAAAATAACTTCTGTATGAAATATTTTCATATGGGACTCCCTGTTCCACAAGTTGTACCACATGCTAGGGGATGTCGTGCCAAGGTTTGTTTCATAGACTAGGCTGTATCACATACAAGGTAAATCCATTACCACATGTAAACTGAATGTGTTCGTCTGCGCTATTTCGTAAGTCATAGTGATTGTGATACGACACATTTTCGCCTATCTAATGATGACTAGTTGACTGCAGTTTCGGTTGCTCACGTAGAAAATTTGGGTATAATTCGGTAAGGTAAATGACAACTTGTCTGAATGATGATGAGTCATGCCCAATCATGTCAGTCAATCATTGTCAGTAACTTAGTCAAAGACATGTTGTCAGTGCATTTTACGGACGATACAACATGCCCTATGCACAGGTGATATATTACCACCCGACACCTTGGAGACAAGTCCGCTCTGCCCCGAAATTCTTAACTTACAGATGCCAAATGCTTGACACATGTATTTCCTCAACATTCAGGGTATCATTTAGACTGGCCTAGTTATGGTATAAGCCCTGAAAGGAAACGTTCCACATTTGCGTGTGTTAAAGCAAACATCAAATGTGTTGAAATGCGCCCACTTAGACCTATTGGTATACTTTTAAGTGGAAAAGACTGCTCTTACACCACATTTTTTTGCAACTATGCCCCTCAATACGTCATTGGTTGATTGCGTCATCGTACCTTGCACAGCATCGATTGAGAGCCAACTGACCGCCGTTTTACCTGGAAATCGTTCTCACGAACGTCAAATATGAACGACTGGACAATTATTGTCTTCTTAGCCTTAATCGCCACATGGCTAATGGAATGGCAGGATTTGACTGACGTATTTATGGTGTCGTGGATAACGGGGTGACCTTGAAATAATCTGTTCCAAATAGTCTGCGCATCTTCGCTTGCGTGTAGCTGAGAAACTAGAGGGTTTTAGGTCCCTAAAAAGGCAGGACTGTGAACTGCCCTGAATGATCTTCAAGATGGCTGTTTAAGTTTAAAACCTCTTACGAATGTAGAGCAGTCCCTTTAAATACGCATTTACACCGATCGCCATAGTTTTCAGTGAAGTGCAAAGCAGCTTTGTCACGCTCATATATATATATATATATATATATATATATATATATATATATATATATATGTGTGTGTGTGTGTGTGTGTGTGTGTGTGTGTGTGTGTGTGTGTGTGTGTGTGTGTGCGCGTGTGTGTGTGTGTGGTGTGTGTGTGTGTGTTGTCTGTGTGTGGTGTGTGTATGCGCGTGTGTGGTGTGTGTGTGTGTGTGTGTGTGTGTGTGTGTGTGTGTGTGTGTGTGTGTGTGTGCGTGTGTGTTTGTTGTGTGTGTGTGTGGTGTGGTGTGTATATATATATGCATGCGTAAATATCAAATGAATTGTCTATATTACACTGTTAGCAGTGACTTGGAAACACGTGGACACCAACGAAATGGTGTTCAGAAGAGATCTCGTTGCATGTGATGTACATGTCCTGAAATGAGGTGACCCAGCTGTACCAGTTAGCAACCTGCAAGCATCTCTTTTAAAGGCGCTGTACAACATTTTTCAAAAAGTCGCTCGTAGCCAGCTGAGCACGTGTGTTCACAGCAATGCGCCGCGATAGAATTCTCAGCCCCGTTCAATATGCCCACCGGCGAGGTCACTCTAGTGAGGACCCTCCGCTCGACGCTGTTGGAGGGCTGGTGAAGAACGCCAACACAGCTGTTGACCTATCTAAGATTTTCGGCAACGTTGATCATAGTTTAGTCATAACAAAACTTCAGTAGACGGCGGGGACCATAATTGGTTCAAAAGTTGTTTGAGTGGTCGGAGGCAGGTGGTGTGTGCAGGACTGATGATCCTTTCGCTAACCCACGGAGTGTCCCCGGGATACATAATCGGTTCGCTTTTATTCACCCAATTCACGGATAACTTGCCCAGTCATCTGTCACATGGACGCCTCGTATCATATCCAGATGGCACTCAGCTCCTGGACCATGCTCCTCCCAGTAAACGATCTCGACGTACTAAAACATTGTTTGAGAGTATAACTTTACGAAATCTATGCTTGGTTTAGCGCAGACTCACTGAAAATGAACAATGATCAAACCGAGTTTGTCCTCTCAGGCCCCAAACATAAGTTCAAGAAAACCTGTGATTCTCACTTTACGACAGA